TGTTCTAGACCCGGGGTCAGCAAACGTTTCCTGTAAAAGGCCAGACAGCAAATACTTCAGGTTCAAGAACCAGATGGTCTCTGTTGTAAATACTCTGTTCCCCCTTGTAGCGGGGAACCATCCATAGATAATATGTAAGCGAATGGGTGTGGTTGTGTTTCAATAAAACTTTATTTATATAAACAGGAGATGGACCTTGCCTGGGGTGGGGGTGGGGTGTGGATGCATAGTGGAGATGCCTTGACTATCAGAGGAATGAGTGTGGGGCTTTGTCCTGTGACCTTCTCTGGCAGACTTGGATGGAGGACAGAGGGAGGGCTCTGAGCGGCAGAGTGCCTCCTTCCAACTTTGTTTCCCGGGTCTCAGCCATGCGGGTGGTTTCATAGAGCGATCTGTGACCCACGCTCTGCTGGCAGACCGCCTGGGGTAAAATCCAGACTCTGATGCTTGCTAGCTGCGCAACCTGGGGCAGCTTCCCTCGAGGTACTTACCTGTACATTGGATGTGACTCTAGTACCTACCAGAGTTGTTGGGAGGACTATGGAATTTAATACCTAGGAAGGGCTTAGAAGTGTGCCTAGTGCATAATAAGCACTCCATACATATCAGGAACTGTCCTGGCTGGTTTGGCTCAGTGAATAGAGCGTTGAATCCTAGCTGGTTTGGCTCAGTGGATAGAGCGTTGAGCTCTAGCCGGTTTGGCTCAGTGGATAGAGCATAGGCCTGTGGACTGAAGGGTCCCAGGTTTGACTCCGGCCAAGGGCACATGCCCAGGTTGCAGGCTTGATCCCCAGTGGGGGGCATGCAGGAGGCAGCTGATCCATGATTCTCTCTCATCATTGATGTTTCTATCTCTCCCTCTCCCTTCCTCTCTGAAATCAATAAAAATATATTTAAAAACTTTAAAAAAAATAGAGCGTTGGCCTGCAGACTGAAGGGTCCCGGGTTCAATTCTGGACAAGGGCACGTGCTCGATCCCCAGTAGGGGGCGTGCAGGAGGCAGCGGACCAATGATTCTCTCTCATCATAGATGTTTCTATCTCTCTCTCTTCCTCTCCCTTCCTCTCTGAAGTCAATAAAAATATATAAAGTGAGCACGAAAAATGCAGAAAAAAGGAAAATAAATAAATATCAGAAACTGTTACAGTGCTTTGTACAGGCGTCCAGTTCATAGACCACCCTCAGCGGAAGGAAGCTTAATGTTCTCATTCAGTGATGTCATCCATGACCCCAGAGGCTGAGCAGAATTCATGACATCTCCAGTTTAGATCCTTGGTGGGAATGATGACATCGTTAGTTGCCAGGTAGGGTCAGCCCTAACTAGGGCTGATGACATCACCGGTTACCAGGCAGAATATGGCTAGAATGTAGGTGCCCGAGCTTGCTTTCCTGTTGAAATGCCAGTTGTGTCCCAGTCCACACAGTCTTCCCTGGCGCCCTCAGGCACATGGAATTTTTATGGGTCTGAGCCTCGGTTTTCTATCAGTCAAATGGGGATAATAAAAGCACCGCTCTCATAAGATTGTCCAGAGAATCCAATGCATGAGTTCATACATACAATGGCCCTAACCGGTTTGGCTCAGTGGATAGAGCGTCGGACTGTGGACTCAAAGGTCCCAGGTTCGATTCCGGTCAAGGGCCCTCAGCTCAGTCTTGGTTAAGCGCACACACTCTGGGGTGACCTAGTGCAGTGTGAGCCCAGATCTGCCACCAGTGGCAGCCAGGAGACCCTGGGCACACGGCTGGCCTATAAGGTGTGGAAATGACAGTGCCAACCTCATAGGGCTGGCACGAGGGTGCATTGAGATCATGACAGTCATGTTCCCAGCACATAATCGAGCCGCAGATGCCCTCAGAAAGGTCCCCCCCCTCCTTGGAGCTCAGAGTCCCCAAATGCATGGAAGTGGGCAGTGCCCTGGCCATGTCAATGCTTCTTACCCACAAGGACTTGCCAAGCCCATGCGCTGGGGGCTGGATGCTTGCACCAATGTCTGCCCTCCCCCCAACTCCAGCCTCTTCTCCTGTTGCTTCGTTCCCCGCCTCTTACCTCTCAACCTCTCCCCTTCTCTGGCTCTTCCCCTTGTTCTGGACTTTCTCCCTCTCATTTCTCTCCTGCATGTGATCAGAAGGCTCTTCTCTGTAGGGAAATAAGTAAGGATGGTGATAATCATCATTATCTGTTCATTTAGTCTTTCCCAATGCATCAGCTCTTTGAAGTCATCTCTTTGCATGCACTGACTCATTGAATTCACACAATGCAAAGACTTATCAGTATCGACTCCACACTTACTGAGTGCCTACTGTGTGCCAGGCCCTGAAGAGCCATCACTGAACAAAACAAAGATCCTTGCCCTTGTGGGACTTGCATCTAGTGGGGAGACAGAGGATAAAGAAATAAACTCTGCCAGAGCCACGAGCTGAAACCAAGCAGGGTCCCGGGGAGAGAGTGAGGAGGGGTGCTGCTTTATATAGAAGGGTCAGGGAAGGCCTCCTGCAGGAGGTGACATTGGAGCAGACCTGATACCGTGAGAGGGATGCAACAGGAAGAGCATTCTTGCCGGGAGGGAAAGTAAATGCAAAGGCCCTGGGGCAGGACCAGGCCTGGGAAGTATTTGAGGAATTGAGGAAGGGCTAGAGGTCAGTGTGGCTGGAGGCAAATGAAAAGGAGATGAGTCCTGGCCCATGTGACTCAGTGATTAGACCTTGGGCCTGCGCACCGAAGGGTCTCAGGCTAGATTCCTGGTCAGGGGCGCGCACTTGGGTTGCAGGTTTGATCGTTGGCCCCTGTCAGGGCGAGTGCGGGAGGCAACCAATTGATGTGTCTTTCTCACCTCTCTCTCTCTCTCTCTCTCTCTCTCTCTCTCCCTCCTTCCTTCCACACTCTCTAAAAATCAATGGAAAAAATAACCCTGGTGAGGATTAACAAAAAAAGAAAAGAAAAGAAAAGGAGATGAGATCAGACAGGGGTGGGTATGGGGTAGGTGTCATTCAGGGCCTTGTGGGCCATGGTGTGAACATCGGCTTTTACCCTGAGATGGAGCCATGAAAGGTTCTAAACCAGTGGTTCTCAACCTGTGGGTCGCGACCCCTTTGGGGGTCGAACGACCCTTTCACGGGGGTCGCGCTAAGACCATCGGAAAACACATATATAATTACATATTGTTT